ATCAATAGCACCTGGATTATTCAGATTCTGGGTAAATCAATGGCACATGGATTATTCAGATTCTGGGTAATTCAATGGCACATGGATTATTCAGATTCTGGGTAATTCAATGGCATATGGATTATTCAGATTCTGGGTAATTCAATGGCACATGGATTATTCAGATTCCAGGTAATTCAATAGCACCTGGATTATTCAGATTCTGGGTAAATCAATGGCACATGGATTATTCAGATTCTGGGTAATTCAATGGCACATGGATTATTCAGATTCCAAGTAATTCAATAGCACCTGGATTATTCAGATTCTGGGTAAATCAATGGCACCTGGATTATTCAGATTCTGGGTAATTCAATGGCACATGGATTATTCAGACTCTCGGTAAGTAACAATTAATTATAAATTGAAGTTGGATATAATGAGGACACAATTTGCGTCTCACAAGTCCCAATTTATGGGTGGTGATCATTGCACTATGTATGATACCGGAATACTAAAATGGTTGAGGTTATCGACCATGTCAATGATGATAAAGTACATGCACTAAAAAAAAAAAAAAAAAAATATTCCTTTCACAGACTAGTATTTCTAGAAATGTACGTTTACAATGTGATTTCATAATCTGTCATGAGAACTTCATTGTATGTCACCATAGTAGCCTGCCCTTATCTTTCTATCCACCTTTGGTTGAATCTCACCTGTAATATGACATGTATGCCCCATTGTACTTTATACATCACATGCTATTGTCAAGGGTATGGTGCCGTCATATAATTTGCGATGACAATTCAAGTGTTGATAAATATGCGATTTCTTCTCTCAAGTTGGGTACGTTTCTGTTTCACTCAAAATTTGAAAAAAAAAGTGGGGTTTTTATTTGTGGATGAGTTAGTCATTTTGGCGACTCTTCAGTTTCTTTTTTCAAAACAGCAACAGATGTATCACATTGAAGTTGTTTTCCAATGCTTAACAGCGATGTCGGTGTTTCTGTTCTTTTAATGTTGTAAATGCTTTAAATCCAGTTTAAATTCAGGCATATGAAATATGGGTAATTGAAGAACAGTAACTACGAGGGGTGATCAATAAGTTCTCGCCCTTCCTCATAAAACGTTACAGAAAGAAGATTTTTCTTACACTATTTTTCAACATAGTCCCCTCTAAGTTCAATGCAATTTGTCCATCGATGTTCCAATTTTCCTATTCCCTGCTGGATGACGTCATCATCAGTCTTAAAACCATGACCACGCAAGTGGGACTTAGAATATGGTTACAGTACTTTGTTTTGATGCTCACAGATTTATTTAAAAAAAAACTATTATGACCTTTATTTTGGTTCTGAAATACTGCCTGAAGACATATGCATGTATGAGGGCACTGTTCACTGTTGCTACTTTCATTAAGTGGCTTTCGTCCACTGATGTCGCACCTTCGGATTGATTAGAAACGTGTGATTACACTATGACTATACGTTTCACTGCAACTGCCTACAACACAACATCTAAAAACTCTCTCTCAAAAAAAGAAAATAGACAAAAAAAGAAAGAAAAAAACGCCGACTGAAAAATGTATATCGTTTAAAAGTATACTGAATGACCAGTGTTATTACAGCTCAGGGGTATGACTTCCTCTCACATTTTGGCATTTGGTGGCGCACTTTCGGCGAGAGTCGGAAATCCGGAAACAGTCGACCGTTTCAGGATAGGTGGGCGTGGCTACAACACGAGAAATATCCCAAATTTACTTGGATACGAGTAATCATTTTCAGCAAAAAAATCAATACCTGCCATTTCAGTGGGACACAGATCTAAAATGGGAAGCGTATGGGTGGGCATTGCACAGGCACTTTCAATTTTGCTATTTTCGTTGATGGATAAGTAAAATCCGCTAAATTAAAACTATGTGAACATATAAAATAACAATAAACTCATTCCTTCACAAATTTGTGAAATTAAAGCACAATTACCGTAATATGCTCAAAACATCAAAATCGTGAAATTAAATGTCAGTGAAAATAAATGGTTTTACAGTACTGGGTTTTAATTTCGCTATTTCTGCTGAGTACGCTAAATTAAATTCATATGAACTTGTACAATTGCATGAACTTATTGTTTTATTGGAAAATAACTCTGAAAGTGTACTCCAATAATCCAAATAGTGACTTAAAATCTCAGTGCAAAATTAATTTATTAACAGTATTAAAGGGCGGTGATCGTCGAGCAGAGCTGCGTCGCGTCGCGTCCTGTTCGATATGGGACTCATAGCGACCTACACAACGCGTGTAAAATACACTGTTTGTTTACATAAAATTCGAACACGCGCCACACAACGACCACCGCCCTTTAACAATACTGTAGGAACTCTGAAGGCGCTGTATATTATTTCATGTGACAATTGTACAGTCATTCATTTTGTGTGTAATCATGCAATAAGTCTCGCAAACAATATTGCATTGTTCCACCTCAAGGTATCATGTGTATATCTGGTGTTTGGTAAATTAAAACTTTGGTGCCGTTGCCGTTGTTTAAATGCGTATCTTGCAAAAAAACTGATTTTTTGAGCTAGTTAATTTTAAAAAACAATTTCTTGATCATTTTTAATTTGTTTATTTTAGTGTTTTTTTTTTATCATTGCCCAATCTGGTTATCTCTTTGCTGTGTCGCCTCGTTACCAAGGTGTAACCCTCCCACCCCCACCCCCACCCCCACCCAGGTGTCAAAACAATCATAGCATCAACGCTTTTTGCTGTTGAATTTCAAACAAAAGTATGCCCTCTATGGAAACAAATTACAGTTGTACTTTACATTTCTTGTCATTTCCAACTGAAATCAGTAAATACAAATTTATGTTTCTATTGTTATGAATATCACGAACAAAAATTATCAAAACCATTTTCTCGGCCCTTTCTCCAATGTAAATGTCAGTATTGGGTATATTTTGTTTGTCTTTTAACAATAACTGGAAAAGAAGTGGTACCCCTAAGTGTTTTGTAATAATGGCCTGTACACCTAGGTGCTTGGTAATAATTGCTGGTACCCCTAGGTGCTTTGTAATAGTTGGTGGTACCCCTAGGTGATTCGTAAAAATGGCTAGTGCCCCTAGGTTCTTAGTAATAATGGCTTATCTCATCTGACACATGGCTATTTATTGATCATAAAATATCAATAATTTATTCCAGATAATAAATACAAGTTGTCAACCCCATGTTATCAGTGTCTGTGTTTATTATTTTTTTTACGACATGCAATCTGGACTTTGATACGATATTCAAAATATAGAAATGTATGATCAATGTGAATAAGTTTCATCGTATACAAACTTAAATATGTGCAAGATTATTATCCTATTGAGTCTGTATTTCTATATTTACATAATTAATGAGGTCTTCACCAAAGTGGTTTGTATTTATGTGTGCCTGTTTTCATCTTAGGGCATTAAAATGTTTGCATAATAATGAGCTTGCATGTTTTTTCTGAAAGGTCTTGTATTTCAGTTCTGGCATAATGAGTGAGGTCACGTGTTTAACCTAAACTGTCCCCCATTTTAACCTTTTCGGCTCGTATTTCAAGTTCTTGCATAACTAATGAGATCAGACATCCTGTACTTCAATGTTTGCATAATTAATGAGGTCACATATTTTCACTTAAGGGGTCCATATTTCTATATGTGCGTAATTATTGAAGTCTTGCATCTTCACAAAAGGGCTCTGTCATGCATAATTATCATTAAGTCACGTGTTTGTTTTTACCTAAAGGATCCATATTTCAATTTTTTCGTAAACAATGAGCTTGTGCGTTTAATCTCGGGGCTTATAATTCCATTCGGACATAATTAATGAGATCACATGTTTTGACCTAAGGGGTTCCATATTTAAATTTAAATTAATGAAGCCATATGTTCTCATCTAAGGGTTTCCTATTTCTATATGCGTAATTATTGAATTCGCACATCTTCACCAAAAGAGCATTTCAACGTGCGCATAATAAATTAGGTCATATGTTTTTATAGCCGGTGGGTCATCACCTGCGCACACGCGGGAATTGAGTCCCAAGCGACAACTCAACACACGCTAAAAACGCAAAGGCTCATGGGTAGATGTTTGTAAACAATAACACACTATGGCCATCTGACGCATGCCCAGGTGACGACTTCCCCGCTATAACTAAGGAATCCATATTTTTGCATAAATAGTAAGGTCCCACGTTTTCACATATTAAAAAAAGTACGTTTCTCGTCACATATTTGGCACCGACTAGAAACAAACAAATGTATCTAGTATCCGAGTACACCCCCCCCCCCCCCGATTCATATCACAGTTGTTCTTTACCTGTAACTGTAATAATACATTATTAAGTGTTGGGGTTTAAGGAATCTTGGGGTTTAGGGAATCTTTTGAATTAATAATATATCGTTTTAGTCAGGTAATGAGCAACTATGATGCAAAATGTTATTCAATGTATGGTGTTGGTGCTTGAGGAAAGCGGGCGGCAGTCGTCGTGTCGCGTTCTGTTCGATATGGGACTCATAGCGACGTATTCAACGTGTGTAAAATACATTGTTTATTTACATGAAATTCGAACACGCCCTGCGTGTCGACCACTCCGCTTTAAATTTACGTTATTTGTGCTAGATGTGTTTTCGTCTTGATTTTGAGTCTCTGTCCCTCGCGTATAGTTGGTGTTCCTGTTATAGTGCTCTCATCGGCATTCGCAGTAACGCAGTGGCTAGAGACTGAGACAGGATCTAGTTTTGAATGTATTTTTAATTTCAACCTTCCTTCATTGAACCCATCGTCGTACTAGTATGATACTACTGATATTACAAAAATCATTCGATTCGGGACAGTATTATAGCGCCCGCTATTGGCCAGCTGTGGTCATTTTAGAAATGGGTGTGAGGTCACTTGGGATGACCGCCGTACCTACCACCTATTGAAACGTCCCACGTTAATGGCCAGGTCGAGGTCGAACGTTTAAGTAGTAGTTGTTTTTAACACAGGTTCCCGTTTGTTTCCCGTGCTGAAGTTTTATTCGAAGTTCGAATCGAACGCTGCCAGTGTACACATATTTAATACGACGTCTATCGTCATCGCTAGGTCTCCGCCAAGTTTAGCAACACTAGGTCTCGTCATAAGGTACGTAGTATTAATCGGGACGGGGGTTGTTTTAAGTTCAAGAATGAACACGCCTTAATTTGATTGCTCAAAACGAACTACTTTTTCTAGCACTTTTCTGGTTGGCATTCTAAGTTCGAACGGTGGAGTTCCACTGCATTGGGTTTTACTTTCTGGGATGTTATACTTCTAGTCTTAAAATTTAATAAATACTGTCTAATAATTATTATCAATCATTTGCTTTCGCCTCGGATGACGTTCAACTTGTAAATAGTTAAAATACCTGTAGAGGGAGAGTTGCTTAGACTCATCCAGTTTGAGTATTTTATGTTGTCGTGGGAAAGAGATCGATCTATCCAGCGGCATGTGACTGAAGATAAAAGAAAATCTATTTTTGTTTCTGTTTACCGACCCATGCTATTAAAGGGAGCACCTTGCTTTATGTGCCAGGAATATCAAAGAAAAGGTCACACGGCGTAATCATGAAGTGAAACGACCGAAATTGGATCTACATACAGTCTCTTGTTTGTTTTTGGTGTGTTTTTTTTTCAATAAAATTAACAAACCACGCACGAATAAACTCAAATAAAGTGGCTTCTGAAAACACTTTAGTGAGTGCATTATATGCTGACCAATAAGCCATTTACATGTTATATACCAAATGTCATTAAAAAAATGATTAATTAGATAGCATTACAGTTTTCGGTTTAATGTTTAACTGACGACCAAATCATTTCATAATTAATAACCACTATGGCAACATGTGGACAAGAGAAAAAATAATATTAATTTCAACACGAATAATTTTACGGTTACATCACAATGAAGTCCTTTGTTACATACAAGTTAGTTAGATGCTTCTCGTCATCGCGTGCCTCGGTTAAGGGAGGCGTGGGCAAGGTGGGTAGCTGGGACAGTTTTACGGGAAATAAAAAGGGCTTTTTACAATTTACAGTGAAAATTAAATTTTGCAGTGAATTGTGTTTTCTAGTCGTTTTACAGTTTCGAAAATGTAATTTCCCTGAATTATTCTTTACGACTTTTTTTATTTGGTGGATGTAAATTCTTGTACTACGTACCGAGAAAAATGACACATTTTTACAGTGTACGAAAAAAATATTTGATTGATTACGTTGTACGTCTAGCCTGTGATTACAGAATTACGGAATTTATTTTTTCAATTTACGTTGTACGAACAAAACAATGTTGCAATTAC